AGCGGCGCTGCGCCTCGGGCTGCAGGCCGCCACCCACCTCGCGCCGGTCGTACAGCTCGAGCAGTTGTTCCTTCATAGCGGTCGTGAACTCGGGTGGCGTGGCGGCAATGGCGGCGGACCCCTCTGGAGATGCCCCCCGGGGCCGCAGCCGCAGCCGCGAAACGAGAGGCAGCCAGACAATGCGCAAGTCGGCGACCGGCGGGGTGCGTCCCTCACGGCCGTAGAGCTGCGCACTGTACGAGCCGTTGAGATCGGGCAGCTGCGAGAGAACGATGTCGTCTAGCAGGCGCGAGAAGTAGGTCCGGTCCTCGCCGTAGCTCAAAAAGCCATCCTCGGGCCGTAGCGTGCACACGTCGCAGAGCCGGCACTCCCCCTTCGCTGCATGGTGGCTCCAGTAGCGAAACCCCGCCGCACGACATGCACTCTCATTCATCATCGATGCCAAATAGCCGCCGCGGTTGGACTGCTGCCCATGGCCACGAAAGGCGTGCCCCCTGTGGTCTCGCGCCCACCTGCAGCATGACTGGTTGGTCGCCAGCAGGGACATGTGCATGTATGCATGTGCATGTTGTGCACGTTGCCACCCCTTTGGTTAGACCCGTGACCACCGACTTGTAGCGAAGCTGACCCCCACCCAGCCCAGGCCGACGCGCGCAACCTGACAACCTGCTTTTACATTTCTATGCGTGTCAGTTTGAGCACTGAGCACTGGGAGGGGAGGGTCGACAACAGCGGTACTCTCTGAGACGAGATGGGATTGGCCCTGGAGGGCGCCGGATTTACCCCAAGGCAACAGCAACGGGAGCATGTGAGCAAGCAGCCTCTGCCACATGCCGTCGGCCCGTCGCCGCCTCCTGCCGCACACGCCGCGGCAGCTCTCTCGATACCGATGTACACGAGCCAACAGCCATCGCGGACTCCGCATTCACCGGGCCGCGCCGACACTTGTGAGCTGAGCCTTGTGAGCCACCGCTCCGGCCGAGTTCGAAATATTTTTTGGAGACCCCCTTGAGCTTGACAATAGAGCGAGTTAGAGAGCGTGCCATGTGACAACTCAGAGGTTCGACAGCACAAAAGCAGCGCATGGCCGATGGGCTAATCGTTGAAAAAAGCGACGATCGCGCGCACAAACGCCAGAGGCTAAGATAGCCTACTGACAGTCGACAAGATGCGCTTCCGCAGCAGACGGCTGTCCACACCAAGCTCGTCTCGCAGGTCTTGGTCGTCGAGCAGCAGCAGCAAGGGCCCGTCCACGTGGTGGCTGCGAAAGCGAGCGACCGTGGCCGTCTCGAGCGCAAGCTCGCGCTCGAGCCAATCGCACACGTCGCTGCAGGACCATGCCTCGACCCGCTGTTTAAGCGGCGCAGCGGCTGGCGATCCAAGAGGCGCATCCACCGATGGCGCAGCGGCTGGCGGCCCAAGAGATGGCGGAGCCGCCACCGCAGCGTGGCAGCCGTCCACCGGCAGCCGACCCGCTCGCCGCAGCGTCAGGATGTGCCGCTCCAGCTCCTCCTCGCCCTCTCGCACCCGGCGTGCAAAGTCGGCGCCCGCAGGAACGTCGCGAAATCGATCTCGGACGTACCGCAGCATCCAGGCGCGGTGCTCGGGCACAGACAGCGCCGCCATCCGGAGCGATCGGGGGTAAAGGCTGCAGACGTCGGCTCGAAAGGTGCGCATCGCCGTGACGTCTCACCTTACCGAGGCGGACGAGGTGGAACGCTCTCGCTCGTTGGGCGTTCTCTTGCAGGGCGTTCGTGTCTTGGTAAGCGTTTGTGCCCTGGGAGCGCTGCGTGAAATGGCGCGGTCGTCGAGAGCCGGGCGTGAAATGGCGCGGTCGTCGAGAGCCGGGCGTGAAATGGCGCGGTCGTCGAGAGCCGGGCGTGAAATGGCGCGGTCGTCGAGAGCCGGGCGTGAAATGGCTCGGTCGTCGAGAGCCGCGCGCCTGCAGGGTATTTCTTTCCCATTTGCCGTGAGCCAAGTAACGCGAATTCTGTTTTCGCTGGTCTCCTCTGCTCCTCTCCATTGCGGGCACACCCACGGCGATCGAGGCGGTGATCACCGGAGCCGATCCACAAGTACGCGCCGCCCTCAAGCCAGAGGAGCTGGAAGAAGACCTCCTCCTCCACGAAGGACGAGGACCAGGACTCTATCGCACACGCGTCGTCAAAGAAAAACGGAATAAATGTTTTCGCGAATTCTTTTGTGTAAACAGTCTCCGTAGCGACCCTGGCGAGTAGAGGCCCCGCCCAGCCAGGGTACCCCTCCGAGGGACCCCACATCTCGCACGCCCCCCCCCCGCTCTTCCGAGGCCTCGCCGGGGCTCTGCTCCAAGAGACCTCGGAGTGCGAGCGTGTGCCTCTACCGCCAGGTAGCGACCTGCCAGTCAGTGCGCGCCGCGGGGTGATAGGCGTGCATCAAAATCTCTTTTCCGACTTTCGCCGGTCCCTCCATGAGCACTTCGAGGAGAGACGCGGCGCTCGCCGAGTTGCGAGCGCGCACGGCAGGCTTCGCTGGCCTGCCGCTCGCCTCTGCGTCCGACGTGATCAGCATGCAGCAGGGCGGCCGCGACGTGATCCTCATCGACGTGCGGTCGCCGCCGGAGCGCGCGGTGAGCACTCTGCCAGGCGCACTGGACCAGCACTCCTTTGCCGCCCTGGCGAGGGAGGAGCCGGAGCGTGTCGCCGCCGCCGTGCTAGTTCCGTTTTGCACCATCGGCTTTCGCTCCGGCCT